TCTTCTAATAAAACCATCAGATCTCATGAGAGTTATTCACTATCATGAGAACCTCACAGGAAAGACCCACCCCCATGATTCACTTACCTACCACCAGGTTCCTCCCACAACATGTGGGAATTATGGGAGGTACAATTCAAGATGAGATTTGGGTGGGGACACAGCCAAACTATCTCACAGTGTCTTGTTATGTTGCCCAGGCTGGCCTCAAGTGATCCTCTGGCCTTGGCCTCCCAAAGTGCTGGGATTACAAGCATAAGCCACTGTTCCTGGCCTCATTCATGAGTTTTATATTGCTTACCCTTCTGAGTAGTGTGATGAACTCTGCTGACCTACTCCTTCTATCCAGGGAAATGAATTATCCCTTTGTCCAGCCTATCCACATTGTAGATGCTACCTGCCTATTCGTCACTTAGTAGCCAGCTGTCTTGGTTATCAGATTGGCTGTTTTAGTACCTCAGTGCTTGTGTTCAGGTAACCCTAATTTTACTTAATAATGGCTCCAAAGTGCAAGAGTATTGTGCCTAATTTATAAATTAAGCTTCATTGTAGGTATGTATATATAGGAAAGAAAATAGTATATATAGAGTCCTGTACTATCTGTGGTTTCATACATTCATTGAGTGTCCTAGAACATATTCCCCACACATAAGGGGCAACTACGCTATAAAGAATGTTTTCTGTTCTGTTTTCTGAGACTCTAGGGTTCATATCTTATAATGGGTCAGTTAACTTTGTTGATGTATTGAAAATATTAAAACTAATTCTTACATAAGCAGATTTTCATGGGGATGTGTTAGCAAAGCAGATGTGAAATTTAGCGGATACCTGCAGTAAATTGACTAAACCAAACAAGGAAAATCCTTGTAGACTACTTGGGGAAAAAAAATGTTTCGCTGTGTGAATGTACTTCTAGTGTTTAAAATTTTAGTACATTAATCTATAATGTAACCCCTTTGCCTCCTAGCTAGCTCCTGGATTATTTCATGATTTTCCTTGTTTCTGAGAATTCCTAACTTTATAGTCTCAAGGCACATCACATTGCTGCAAAAATGCACTATATCTCTGTGCACCTATCCTATTCAGACCCTTATTGCCTCATTCCTGGACTACCACAGTGGTCTCCCTTCATTTCAGTCTCTACCAACTCATCCTGATGAATCTTCTTTAAATACTACTTCTACCCTGTC